ACCTCTCTAAGAAATTGACACTATCATCATTACTTTTCACTGTTGCCTCAAAGCACTGTGGGGAGGAACAGGTTTGCATGTCTACTCTGTGGTCAAGGGTTTTATTCCTCATGAATATTTTAATCACTTAGAAAGACAATAATTGTTGACCCATTATCTCTTTTTCTAGTTTTATTTTAGTGTTTTAGATAATTTTGAGGGTACGTTTTATTTCAACGACGTTTAGAAAATTGTTAGGCTTTAATTACGTTATTTATCAAGTGTAGGGGCTAAGAAATTCTTCTTAAGTAATGTTCCTAGTCAAGACTTACCATAGACCTGTGATATCCAAACTTTCTCTTGACTATAAGACGTGAACACCCTCCCCCCCCCCTCTCCCCCAAATACCCCGCCCCCCCCCCATCCCACATACAGATGTGTTTAGATATAGGAGGGGGGAAAGAAATCACAAATACTGTTAACATGAACATGGTGAAAAACACCCACATGATTCAAAGTTTGTTAACAACAGAAATAATGTCTTACTGCTTATTTAGTGTCCAATTATCAATGCGATTTCTGACACTGTTTTGTTTCGATAATGTTGGCAATTTTTGGTCTGATATTGTACAAGACTAGGCACAAAAGAGATCACTCTTCGCCTCAAGCTGGCAGTGCTAGATTGTTTTCATACTGGTAAGGCTGAAAATCATTATTATCACAAGTACCTTCTTTTTTTCCTAACCACCACTAGGTTTGAGACCATTGCCATCGACAACTGTATTTTAGCTCCCAATACACAACGATTCTTTGTTAATAGCTTAATGTTGATTTAGTGGGGGAAAAATACAGAACAGAAACATTCTTTGATAGTAAGTGAAGGTCCCTTATCCACGCCTTTAGGCGTATATTGCATAAATGGCATATAGGGCTAGACATGTATTTGTATGTACCAATCGGAACAAGATTGATGATGTGGTTCAGCATTAGGCCGGCAGCCTTTACTTCCGGAGAATACACCCGGTACCCACTCAAGGCTGGGTCGACTTGAGAGTCAAGGTCATTTTTAAAAAAAGTCCGGCTCTGCCAAGGAGCGAACCCACGACCTTCCGATCCCTATGCGAGCGTCTAGCCGCTACGCCACGACAACTCCCTCTCTGTGATAGAGAGTGCAAATATTTAAAAATGTCTTGCATATTTCGCTCTGTGGCTAAGTCGATGCGAACGCTTCGTAATGCCAGGGTACTGGGTTTGATCCCAGCAGCGGGCTATCACCTTGCGTTGGTTTCGACAGTGGTATCAGAGGGCTGACTGTCCAGAAAGCAATGGCAAACTACTGAACGTAAATTTGCCTAGAGAAACCACACAATAGACAGGAGCTGCTGGTGTCGGTTCTGCAACGTCCTGTAAAAGATACGCAACTAAACTTTAGCCTTGTATATTTCAGGCTCGAATATGCTGGTTGGGATTGTTTCTTGGGGAGATGGATGCGGTCAGCCTAACAAACCTGCTGTGTACACACAAGTGGCATATTTCCTGGACTGGATAAACAACATTATGCAGCAAAGACGTTAAACTTCCAGCCAGCTCTGAGTAAAACAACACAGATCAACAGTCTCAATTTTCTGTCCGAAATTCAGTCTAGAGATTCGAGCAGTGTGCAGTTCAACGGTCTAAATTGTTATTTAAAAAAAAAAAAAAAATGCCAGACGAAAACCTTACTGTTCTAGATTATGTAGACTGTGCCTGTCTATCTATTCGCTGTCCTATAACATTTAAATCGAAAACAGTGAGTTAGTGTTTTTCTCTTTGTTACTTTGGATCAATTAAAATTAAATAAATTAATTACGACGGCCTTGTCTGTTTCACACTCAATGTATATATAATATATCCGTAAACTTAAGCAATGTATGTGTTGCCACTTTATACCAGTACGGTCGGCACTCAAATTAAATGAAATATATCTTTTTGTTTTTGTTTTTGCAAAGATAAATTAATTCCACTGAGAATAAATTGATAATAATGGTGAAAGGTGGGGCGGGGCGGGGAGGGGGTGGAGGGAGGGGGACGGAAACTGTTTCCAAACGCACTGCCACAAACAAGCTTATCTCAGAAGGTGAGTAATTCCATCAGTTATGGAACAAGATCAGTAGTGGACGAACAACCAGAAAATTCCACCTGAGTTTACAACCAGCCAACTCTGAGCATAAGAAGACCTGACACTAAATAATAGAGACACATTACCATCATGTGGCAGGTCCTTTGCACAACGTCGCTCTCATCACAGTCTGCCTAAAAGCAACTCGGTCTTTCGCTATGTACTTTCATACTCAAGGAGTCATTACATCCTGTGCCTATCTTCGTGTTGCTCGGCCCCTGCCCCTCCTTCCTGGTACCATGCCTTCTGCTATAATTTTTTTCCAATCCGTCGTGGCGCTTGATATGACAAAATATTTCTGCTTCCGAGACAGGATGCTGTTTATCAGCAAATCTTGCTTGATGTTAAGATTTTTCAGGATGTCAGTATTTCTCATCTTCTTTGTCCAAGATATTCTGAGAATCTTTCTATAGCATTTCAGTTTAGAATTCTATTATCCTGCCGCGAAGGCGTAAAGTGTCTTTAACGCTGTCGATCTATTTTCTCATAGCCCTCCTGTTGTTCTTATAGCCGAACTTCTGAGTAATAGTGTTTGTAATGGTATTTGATGTTGCTGCAGTCTAACGAGATAGGAAAACCACTTGATATGCTGTTTCTCAATTTTTACTCGATTTCGGATGGTTTGGTTGATGTCTTTTCTCAGGCATCTCATCTTGCAGGTGGTGATTTTGCATACATAGGCTTTAGACATTGTCTATGTTTGGCTGTGGTAGCTCAGTTATGGATTGAATATGCTGTTTGTAAACTGTCTATGTGCACTCATAGTAATGTTTGGATGTCCTTAATAATGGTGGCAACTGGTAGATATGTGTACTAGCTTTTGTGACATCTGGTTTGTATTTCTCTGTCAATTCTGCCATCTTCTGTGATCACACTTCCTAGATATTTAAATTAAATTACTTTTTTTTTAAAGGCCAGAACTATTCGGTTGTCTGTGAAATTGGCCAGGGGTTCTACTGAATTGTATTGCTTTGGTTTTGTTTGCATTGATCTTGATACTGTATTTTTTGTATGCTGAGGTTAACGTGTTAATGTGGTCTTGCAGTCTATCTTCTTTAATGTGGAACAAGAACTGGTCGTCGGCAAATAGTAGTTTGTTTACTGCGACTGAAAGTCCGTCTATGTTGCTGGATAATATGTATATGTACCGTGCTAGGCATGTTCTAACACATATCTTTCAAGTGCGGTGCCTAAAAAACGAATACGTGGCATTAAGTGAGATAAAAAGATTCCAAAAAGTAAGTTTGTTTTTTGTTTTTTGAAATAGCAGATATTGTAATAGTTGTCTCAATGCTCAGTCTCCTGGGTCATCTCTATGGACATCCTCTGTGGTAACACACACATAGTTAAATGATGTCGAGGTAAGCCTCTACCACGATAGAGGGATTGTGCAAGCGGTCCTGGGGTGGACTCATGGAAACAAAATGCCAGGGACACTGTTGTGTGGAGGGTGAGGGAGGGGGAGGAGGCAAATCAAGAAGGGAATGTGAGTAATGGAAAGCACGATTGAAGAAAGCATATGAGCCGAGCGTTTGAGAAGAAACAAGCTAAATACAAATGATAGCAACAACAGTCATGAAATACCATGTTGTACTGGTGAAAGCCCTTTTCTCAACATATACGTATGTGTGTCTTGTTAATCACACCCACAGCACAATATAGCACGTATTTGCTTCATTTATTTAATTGCTATTGCAGTGTGCACCTGACCAGTGCTTTTTTTATAGCATCTTTACCCCCCCCCCCCCCCCCCCCCCCATCTGTGAAAGCCAGTGTGACGGGTTCCCGAACAAGCCAGTGTGCTTCCTCCCTCCCGTGCAAACCAGTGTGCTGGCCCCCCTCCCATCCCTCCCGAGAAAACCAGTGTGCTTGACCCCACGACAACCACTCACAGGAATAACAAATCAATGATCAATAATATGAAACAAACATTTTGTTTATAAGCACTTTAACAAAACCGATGTGAAAACATAAACATAGATTAGTTGAAAAATTGTGAGTTTCAAATTTAAAGATATACTAGTAACTTTGAAAACATATTGACTAAATTTGTCTGTAGTTTCTTGGAGATAGTTTTTCGAAGACTAAATAACATTAGTAGATACACGGATGTTCACATCCTTTCATTGCATGACCTTGCGTGTTTTATAGATTTTATTTTCTTGTTTGACATTCATAAAGATTGTGAGGAAGACTGTTTCCATTTTTCCCTATTTATTTTTCTTTGCCAACTACATCTGCCTGTCTGCTTGTGTTACTAACTGTTCATTATCAAGTGATGGGCAATTCAGTGTATGCTTTTTTGTTCCCCCTCCCCCCCCCCCCCCAACTCATCTCTCGAAACCCCTAAACAGAGCCTGCACAACATCGCATCAATGCGCTGACCACTGTGTGTCAGACAGACGCCTAACAACACAATATTTTCCAGAAGATCGTGTTAGTACATTTCACTAACAAGTAGAAACAGTAAAAATTTATATGCACGCTGAACAAAGTCAAAAACGTTTATATACTGCAAAATCTTTATGATACTTTTACTAAAAACCAAGTTAAGGCTGTCTCCAGCACTGGTGATACAGATACACTCATTGTATGGAAAAATCTGCGCTAGCAATATCATACAGACAAATTTGTGACTGTTTAATAGGAGAATGTTGTTCTCATCAAGCGGTCACTACACGGCATTTTTTTTCCGATTTATGACAAAAATATCACTTTTTCAATGTGATCATTTTTGTAAAGTTCGGCATTCGTAGAATAGATTACACACAAAATGTATGTCATTTGTAAACAGTTTAGCATTGACAATTTAATACTAAAGACATCAACCTAAGCAATATTTTAAGATAAAAAAAAAGTTTACAAGTCAGTTTTCTAATATCTCTATATTTCTGTTTGTTGTGTGTGTGAAATCCTAAAATCTCAGCTAATATAAAGACTAGATACTCCTTAGACAATATTATAGGGACTGGTCTATTTAAACGTAGATTTTAGAAAAATATTCAAAAACATGTTTAAAGTAAATAAACTACACCTATACTTCTAAATAGAAAAAAGTCCATTGAATTCTCCATCTATTGTTGAATACGTATGTTTCTTTTAAAAATTGTTGGATTCTAAGTACACATTGTTTTTATTTCACAAGATGGGGGCTATTGCGATGACAACCATGATTTTTTTTTACCCTTAAAGTATACAAATGTAATAACATGTATCCCTACAAATGACCATTATAACATAACTGCTCTAACTCTGTAAATAATATTTTAAAAAAATGTTTTGGTGTAGTGACCCCTTAAGAAAATCTACAACAATAAACGTTAGATTCCGTGCTTCGTGAGAAAAAGATGTGGATAAACCTCAAGAAACGTAGCACTCGTTTACAGCTTTTAATGTACCGGCCAGTAAATGTCAATTGATCTCGTGTGTGTGTGTGTGTGTTTGTGTGTGTGTGTGGGGGGGGGGGGGGTGGGTGTGCTTGTGTGTACGTGTGTGTGTATGTGTGTGTGTGTGTGTGTTTGTGATGTCCGAAATGGAAAATACACTTACTGAATAATACTTGGACTCTTTTACAGTTTCAAGAATATTACAATGAGCCTGCTGTCCTATTAATCAGTGGGGGAAAAAATACCTCACAAATATGTACTGATAAATATGACAAATTCTCTGTTCTAGAATTTCCAAACATTATGAGATGTTTCCCCCCCCCCCCCAAAAAAAAGGGTTAAATTCACTTAACAGCTTTAAAGGTTAGTTGCGTATTCTGTACAGGACCTTGCAGAACCAACCCCAGCAGCCCCTGGCTGTTGTGTGGTTTCTCTGGGGCAAATTTACGTCCAGTAGTTTGCCATTGCCTCTGGACGGTCGGCTTCTTTATACCACTGTCGAAACCAACGCAAGGCGCATGGTCCGCAGCTAGGATCGAACCCGGCACCCCGGCATTACAAAGCGTTCGCATCAACTTAGCCACCGAGCCGACTCAACAGCTTTAGTATACCTAAAAATATTGCCAGCTTGTATTTTATCCATGCAATAGCAAACCTCTGGAGGCAAGAGCGCGAAGTACAGAAACCGCACGTCATTAATTTATGGCAATATTCATCCTCTCGGTGATGTTGCTTAACTCACACAGAATCTGAACTTTCAGTTTCTCTATGTCGTATCAGTTATGTTAGTATGCGTTTTCGACGCTCGTCATGTTGCCTTGCTTCCTGTCATTGAATCCCCATGTAGCAAATGCATTTTTTCCCCTTTACAATAGACAGCCAGACTTTTTTTTTGTTTCTTTAAAAATGGATTTGGCTCCCAGGTCGACCTAGCCTTGCGTGGGTACCGGTCACAGTCCCGGGAAGTGAAAGCGGCCGGCGTGATGCTGACTACATCACCCATCTTTTAACGATTCGTCTACTAAATATAG